TAGTGATCAAATTTCTAAAATCTTGAAGTAGGTTAATCCACGCGAGACGTACGTAGAGTAGTTGGTCTTGATTGGTCAAAAGTGAAGACCAGTGAATTAGTGCTCACTGGAACACCCAGCCTTCCCCCCCCCCATTCTCTTATATTTACGAAAGACTACGAGGATTAAAAATTCATACGTCCTCCTCCACTCTCGTGCTAGGGCAACGAACGGGGGATAATGCTAAGTCACTAATTTAGACAACTGAGGTGGGAAGGGGGAGGGGGGTTAACAAGCACATTCTCCACCAGGTCACCAAGATACACGAGATCAAGGACTTATCTAGGGCCCATAAGTGTTGATCATCGGGTTGTCTCTAGATATCAGGCAGATGTGGGCCGCAAGATCTTCCCACATTGTGCCTATTAACTGCTACTTCAGACTTAGTAATCTGTAGCCCAGCCAGAGCCGGATCGTAACATACATAGGCATGTGACTCTCTTAGAATTCACACTTAATGGACGGGGAGCAATGGGTAGAATCTTCCAAGGTACTAATATAAAGGTCCCGAGTACCCACCACCAAGCCACTGATTGGAGTACCATACATCGGCAGACACTTGTCTGCAAATGAGATAAACCCACGTCATGCTGGGAGGAGAGAACCTGCCCATCACAAGTGAAAATGGGAATATCACCATCATTTTCTTATCAACATTACAGAAATCAGCAGTTTACCAGTGGCCTGTCTACAGAGTCGCCTTCCAAAATAAGGGTGGTATTAGACCCGAGAGCAGCAACAGCACGTGGGTGCCTGGCTGAGTCTGGGTTTGGGTCATTCGCAAGAACCATGTCTGTGCATGGGTCGTCTGGTGTTACTTCCGCAGTGGAACTAGCAGCAGTTGTGAGCGACTCAACATGCATAAATATTAAGAAATATGAGAGAGAGAAAAAGAATCGACTGCCCTGCCAATATTCCCTACACTCTACAAGCAGAGCCAATTGTCATTGCTGGACCACCTTACCCACAGCACAGCTCCAGATCTTGCCCGGAACTAACATAACAAGCATTAGCAAAAACTTCCTATTTAGATTAGAAGCTTCAGAGGCACTAGTAGCATTTTGCTAGTAATGTGCAAGGGCAAACCAGCCAGACGAGTGAAGCACACCATCAATCACCCGTCCTGGAGCCGAAAGTGACCGCAAATAATACTTCCATCGACTGACATACGTTGGATGACCCACCTAACGAGTCACTAAGTGGTCCACCAGAATGCCCACCAGACGGTCCAGTTCCCTTTGGATGGTGAAGATGACCTCAACACTGCAAGTGGTGGGAGCACAAATAGTAACAATAATCCCGTCCATAATCCTAAGGAACAAAATTGATAGAACGAAGAGAAAAATCCCAGCTTTGTAAGAAAAACTGAAGGGAAGGGGTTGGTGGGTTCTTAGTCAGGCTAAGCAACTCAGACTTCACAACCACTTAAAAGTGATCCATCTTCCAGTTGTGAGAGAAATGGAAAGGAACATAGGGGGGGGTAATGAAACAGGGGGTAAGGGGAGGGAGCCATCAAGGCGATGCAGTGGGCCTGGTTAGACAAGGGGGTGTGTGGGTAGGAGGTGGCGTCTTGGTGGGGTGTGGGTAGGAGGAGGCGTCAAGGGGCTTTAGCGTGACGTATGACGAGGAACTCTATTGGTCAGAGTTAAGACCCAATTTAGCCCGTAATTAATAGAGGTAAATGCGGTAAAAGAGGGTTAGTTATATGATAGGGAAATGAGGGAGAGGAGCAGGGAAAGAAATTGTGAGAAATTATAATTACAAGTAGTTATATATCGGGTAAAACTGCCAGGGAATTTTCAGATGCAATATAGAGCAACCTATATTTATTTTTATGGACAATTTTATTCTTAACTTTATGCAGATAGTTTATGTATATTTTTATATTTTATTAAATTTGAAATTGTTACTCTGAACAATAATATTAAAATCAACATTTTCTTCTAAATTTCTTCTAAATTCCCCGACTCGATGTGAGTGCTTTTCTAAATTCCCTCACTCAATATGAATGCTCTTCTAAATTCCCTCACTCAATATGAATGCTCTTCTAAATTCCCTCGCTCAATATGAGTGCTCTTCTAAATTCCCTCGCTCAATATGAGTGCTCTTCTAAATTCCCTCGCTCAATATGAGTGCTCTTCTAAATCCCTCGCTCAATATGAGTGCTCTTCTAAATCCCTCGCTCAGTATGAGTGCTCTTCTAAATCCCTCTCTCAATATGAGTGCTCATCTAAATTACCTCGCTCAATATGAGTGCTCTTCTAAATTCCCTCGCTCAATATGAGTGCTCTTCTAAATTCCCTCGCTCAATTTGAGTGCTCTTCTAAATTCCCTCGCTCAATATGAGTGCTCTTCTAAATTCCCTCGCTCAATATGAGTGCTCTTCTAAATTCCCTCTCTCAATATGAGTGCTCATCTAAATTACCTCGCTCAATATGAGTGCTCTTCTAAATTCCCCCACTCAATATAAGTGCGCTTCTAAATTCCAGCGCTCAAAGCCCCTGAGCAATGTTCAAGACGCAGGTGCAATTCCGGATCATTAAGTCTCTCCTCACCTGGTGTTGATAGCGACTTCGCTCGCTATTACATAGGTGATAACGAGTCGGGCCAGCGCCTGGGAAGAGGTCAGGCGCTCTTCTCTGTAATTTGCTGGTGATTTATCACGTCGTGTACACTGTTCTCAACGCCATTTTAATTCGATGTTTGTGATTTAGAGCTCTACGAGGTTGTCAAACTGCAATCTAGTTTTTTCTGGTCATTTTTTTTTTTGGTTATGTTTTCTCCGTGATTTATGTTTGCGGTGCGCTTAAAGCATTGCATTTTTTTTGTTTGAAGCTGTATTGGTAATTGCTACGTGACACTGAGTCACTGAGTCATTCCATTACCAATTAAAAATCATTAATTTCATACTACAATTATAAAAAAAAAAAGCTTTTTATGAACTAGAAATTTTGTTTGCAAAAACTGTGAAATTACTTTTTAATAAATTTTATTATTTTTTATTATTTTTTTTCGCGGAAGCGTTAACCCGGGGAGTCACACAACAGTGCTTTTTCTGTAAACCTTTTTTTAAAACTATCACAAAAGGACGGGGTTCTCCAGGCTTGTTTGGGTCCCCTGACCTTCCCATTCGAAATCCCTGACATTAGCACAAATATAGCTTACGGGTGCACACAGAACGGGACAACAGTGCTTCAGAAAAAGCACCTGTTGCTGCAAAAAGGAGTAATGGGGGCAGTGATTTTTATCGGCAAAAAAAGTAATAACCATTGCACCCCGAAGATGAAAACACAGCACAACGTCAGCAGATTTTCCCCCGGGGTTCTCTCAGCCGGGAAATTACACAAACGTCCATAACAACCCAGATAAGTCAAGGGAGGAAAACATTAAATAGCGTTTCGCCCCTTAAAACAACTTAAACTCTTTTTTGCAACAAAAACGCCGATGATATTTTGTGAACAAGAAATGCTAAAAAAATTTCTCAGCTCTTAAAATAACTGGGTATTACTGGCCTGACCCGAAAAACTTAAACATATAATACTTTATATACAGGGAAAGGGTATGCAATTCTTTTTAACGAGATGGATGGGAAAAAATGATAAAATCCTTCAAAGGGGCTCGTAAAGAATAAAAATTTGCAAAAAGGTCTTCGGGGACAGGTAGATTTACAGGGTTTGATTCGGTTTGGGAATTAAGCGCGTACACGCACACTGCCTGCGCTCAACCCCTTTCGTGCTTGAGTAAGGTGGCCTGTTTATCACAGGGGGAAAGGGAAAAAAGGCTCAATACGTGGGTAGGTCACCCTACCACCTCGTCCCAAAAAAGGATCGAGACCTTTGGCCCCCGGGGGAAAATTTACAATAGGTTTTCCTCAAAGAACGGGATCCAAGTTCATTAACCACCAAGACCCAGGACTGCCCCTTTCCTTTTCCAACGCCTCAGTATAGCGATCCGAGAGGGAAAAACCCGCGTATCTTGGGTCCGGTCGGTGTCTGGCCTCTAATCCTTAAGGTTTCCTTTTTCTTTGTAATTCGCAAATGTATATATTATATATATTCCCCCAAAAGTGGGCCATAAAATTGTAGTTCCCAATTATAAAATATAAAACTTTATTAATATACATATACAGCGGGCGGTAGGGAAAGAAAATATTCAAACAGCTCCTGGAAAAAATTCTAGATTTTCACATGACGTAAGTTTAGTTTCTCGTCTCTGAGGCTGTGGGTCCCCATTTGGCACTGGAAGTGGTACCTCTTTTATTGACGTTTTATTTTAACCTAAAATTATAACAATAAAACATTATATATATATATATATATATATATATATATATATATATATATACATGTGTGTCTTCTTGACGAATAAGGCAAGTGAAAATTTGTTCATGTAATAATTACGCAAAAATCGTTCTGAACCCAACGAAAAAAACATATTTCATAGTGTTTGTTTATTTTTAAATTATTATAAACTTACACAAAATATATTTAGTTGCATTAGGCTAAATTAAATTGCGCTTGTTGTAATAAGGTTAGGTAAGTTTCTAAGATTCTTTGTGTACAAAATTATTAGTTTACATTAAGATAAATGAAAAAAATATATCTTTAAACGCATAAGAGAAAATTTTAGAAACTTCTTAATTTTAAACGAGTTCTTGCTAATTGACCAGTATTACCTATTCGGCACGATACACACACACACACACACACACACACACACACACACACACACACACACACACACACACACACACACACACACTTTCATTTACATATATAATATATAATGTGGCATGGTACAGAATATGATGCGAATATGATAAGAGTGGTGATTATTTAACACAGATGACAATGATTATTGTATGTTAGTAACAATGAGATGATGTTTTTTTTTTCCTGCTACTAATGATTGTGAAACGGTGAAGTACAGGCCAGTATAAGGTAGAAAGATCTATCACTTACCCTCAGAAGGAGCTTACTGAAAACACACCCAGTCTGTTTTCATGCGTCTCTTGACGTCAGTGTGAATCCTCGTTATTACCAGATAAAATTCTCCAGGATAGAAACCCATGAACATTGCACGCTTACTACAACGTATCCATTTCCAGGGAATAATAATCAGCAGTCAAACCCAAGCTTAAACGTAAGCTTAAACCTAAACCAAACTTAGAATAATCAATTTTGACGAAGGGAGTAATGAAAGATAGAGAATGGTGGTCGTGTACGTAGGTCAGTGATGGCGAGGCAGCGACCAACAGTCAGTGTTGTTACCCAACACCACCGCCAAGTCGCTGTTTAGAGCATCATTAACACTATTATTATGTTATTATGGCTGATACGTTGAAAAGTAAGAATTTCCACAACTGAGAAATGATGTTTCCGGTGTTATGGATATGCAGTGAAGTGTGTAATGTTGAAGGGATTCTGTCCCGGAAATATAGTCTATAATAACCAGAGTTTCCTAAAGATACACACAAAACTCATGACAGCTCGTTTCGCGTAATTATTAGGTATGATTTCGAAGTTCCTCATCACATCGACCAACGCACTTAAACGCACATAGTCAGATGCACTATTTAAATATTAAAATGACACTGATAATTGAGTTTTCTGCTGGGGGTCACAATAGCAGTGAGCGAATCGCTCTCAGGAGCTTCACTGACAAGCGTCTCTCCACCCTATAGCAGCCAATGACTGACTGACTGACTGGTTGGTTGATTAGATTTAACGCCTGTCGACTTCACGACGGTCATTTAGGCTGCATAAAACTTTTTAACATCAAAAATACATTCCTTAAAATAGTGACTAAAAATAAGCTCCCAGCGTACGATGAGAGACTCGTCAGGAAACTGGACCAGTGTTTCGTGACGCGGGTCTTAGTCAGCTGGAGCTTTAGGTCATATGACCGAGGCCTTCAGCTGGCTTAACTGTCCACCCCTCTAAAAACTGTGGTTATGATTATAACCATTATAACCATTATATAGCATACATGCACTGAGAAACATATAACTTTTTGTATATATAATTTGACTGACCTCTGTTTATCCACCTCCAGCTTTCATAAGCATAAGAATTCTTAGAGTTTATTTAATTCCGCTGATAACTTTGTAATTATTCTACTGACAAAATATCTCATATATTATTAAAAACAAGTATAATTTATATGGATGAGAAAGAGGAGTTGTCACAGAGCGGCATTATTTACTACAGAATGTGATACAGGGAGTCTGGGAGGTGGTTGGTAGTGGTGTCTACACCTGCCTGACTTGCTGACTACCCACTGGTGTTGGCCATTATTATATTCACGGGAAGTGCTAAACCCGTAGGAGTTGTGTCTGTGAATGTATCAATGTGTGAGTGTATGTGAATGTGTTTGTGTGAGCGGATAAATGCATATGTTAGCTAATGTGCATGCATGTGTGTTTGAGTTGAGTGTGAGTGTGCATGTGTGTGTTTGAGTTGTGTGATTATGCATGTATGTGTTTGAGTTGTGTGTGTATGCATGTGTGTGTTTGAGTTGTGTGTGAGTGTACATGTGTGTATGCATGTGTGTGTACTAAGCAAGTTTTCTGTGTATTTAATTCCAGCTCTTTGACCCGGCTCTTAGCTTTCTTTTAGCTGAAGTGACTTATCACTGCATCATTCACTTATGCAACTATTTTTCATTTCTTATCTAGTGAAACCTTTATGAAAGATAATTGAAATATTTCTGGAAATATTTTAAATATTTAGCTTTTATTTGCATTCTCTAGTTCTTTGGTGAATGCACTCGCAAAGTTCTATTCACCTTGTCAAGGACCGGGCCGCGGGGGCGTTCACCCTCGGAACGACTTCCAGGTAGTTGTGCATGCAGGGGTCAATTCATTACTCCTGGACCAGCCTGTTGATTGCTTTAGGTATCACTGATTCCTTCATACCCATTCTTGAAGCAACGTTTGGAACTTTCCTCCTGGTCATGGCCTGGTCATTTACCGGGCCGCTGGGGTGTTCTCCCTCAGAATACCCTCCGGGTATACCACCTTCTCACCTAGCTCACTCCGCTTACTGAGCATGCTATTGCTAAAAAAAATAATTACCGGTATCCCCTACATTTCTTCAATGTGTTTAACTGTCGTCTGTATCCCTCATCATATCAAACATCGATCAAGTATACGGAGAGTATGTAAATAAGACACACAATGCAGGTTACAGCACTTTTTGCGATGTTTCGTGCACGAAATGTCTACACTAATCAATGCCGGGAGTAGTAAGACCCTTGAAACTCATCAAAGGTATGTCTTATTAACATCTCATGCAGCCCTCAGATCGCTCTTGTTCCCCTGGTATCATCTAGCTCATTACCATGTTTCCTTGATCCAACTCTCATCTTGGCTGACATTTTCAGTTCAAGGGAATTGCGTGCATTGTACCTGGCAAAGGGCTTATCATTCAGGGAAATGAAGTTATCTTTCCCATCGCCGAACAAAATCCTATTCTGCGAGAGAGAGAGAGAGAGAGAGAGAGAGAGAGAGAAGAGAGAGAGAGAGAGAGAGAGCACATTCACATTTCTTGACCCTCTTGAGCAACAAGAGCAAAAGAAAAAAATAGAAAAGAGAGATAAGAGGAAGAGGAGAGAAAGGAGATGAGGCTGACCATAACTCTGGTCTACTCTAAGGGCCAGATGGTAGCATGATAAGTCATCCTTAATACAATTTCCTTTACCTTTCCTTAATGCTTCTCGTAACTCGGGGACATTATTTTTTTTCCTGCCACCGATTTCACACGTCGTTTTTCCTCTTATTCTCCTCTTCATGCCACTCTTTTTCTCTTTATTGCTTTCCGTTTTCTTATCATCTCTGCCTTTTTTTTTTATATTTTTCACCTCATTCCCCGCTCATCTCTATTCCTGATTCTTTCTCTCAGCTTCCTTCTTGCTATTTGCCTACCTGTAGCTATTTCTCAGTGTGTGTGTGTGTGTATGTGTATGTGTGTAACTCACCTAATTGATGTTGCAGGGGTCGAGTCATACCTGTGTGTGTGTGTGTGAATCTGTCTCCCTGCTTGACTATCTTTAAGTCTTCACGTTTGTAAGTCTGCCCTGTCTCTGTGAATATAATATATATATATATATATATAATATATATATATATATATATATATATATATATATATATATATATATATATATATATATAAATATTGTGTGTGTGTTGTTGTATCGCTCTCTCTCTCTTCTTCTCTGTTTCTTTCACATTTTCTTTCTCCCTCGCTCCTTCAAGTCCTCGGCGATGCCAGTTGGTGGATATGACGAACATTATCGTTCTTCTCTTTTCCTCTTTATTCTCAAGGTAATTTGCCGTGTGCCAACTATTTTACAGCCCCCTGGCTGTGATATTCATTTGCCTGCAAGAATAAACCACTCCCACTGCTAACCACAAGTACTGTGTTTTCCTTGAAGGCAGAGTAACTTTCTCGTTTCTCTCTCTCTCTCTCTCTCTCTCTCTCTCTCTCTTGTTTTCTTAAATTTTGAATGTTGATCTGCTTTCTCAGATGTTTTTTGTTATTGTACGCTCTCCGTCTAGTAAACGGGAGCTGCTTTTGTTTGTCCTTCTTTTGCTGTAATACTTATCTTTAGGCTGCTTTAGGAAGTCAAAGCCATGTAGAGGACCATGAGAACATTGTGTACATAGCAGTAATAGCCTTCGTTCTTAAGGCTTTGTTTCAATGCCATGTTAAACTATGCATGTCAAGGCTTGCGCTTCCTTAGAAATCAAGATTCATACTGAATCTTGATTTCCTTCCTGTTAAGAGACTCAGCATTTGAGTCCCCATAGACTACAGTGCATAAATTTCACTACCAGAGCATCAACTTTATTGCTGTGTGCTAAATCTCTTCCAGTCATTCTCACTCCATCTTCTGTGGTAATGCCAGACTGTCTTGAGACCACCATCAACAACATCTGTGCTTTCTCGCTATCAGATGTAGCCTGTCATCGTTTGCATTAAAGAGCTGCAGTCACAAGATGTGTCCTGGTGCATCGTGTGTTAGATTAAAGTCATGCAAAAAAGGACACATTTCTAACCAAGCTTTTATTTTAATAATATCGTTCTCTTTGTACAGCTTCAAGAAGTTTTACCAGGATTTTATAAAGCTGAACACAGAGCGAAACATTGTTCCAATAAAAGTTTGTTCCGCAGTCTATGGCTCTACTTCGCCATAGTCGGCGGTACTCCATATCGATCTCTATTTACGTTCGTCTGATTGACAACTACAGTAGATTCTGTGATAAGGTAAAGCAGAGCATAAAGGCACCTCATTTCCTTGTGGTTCACTGGCACAGACAAAACAAGTTTCTAAAAATACTCCACTAAGAGTTACTTTTACATATCCCTCTCAAACGTAGTCACTCTAGGCAGAGGTTCCTAGTACTTTTACTTTTTGCTAGGAGACTAAGATACGATACTCGATCAAAGGTTTTAACAGTCCAGTGCAATTACACAATTGATCTTGCATTTATCTAGAATCCATTGCAGTGCAGTGAAGATGTACTGATAGGTTTCAGTGCAAGCTTTTCTGAAATCAGTTGACGGTCCCATAGGAAAGGTAGCACGGGCCACCACTGTGACCACGAATGCATGTTTTACCGGAGGAATCCCACTCCAGCTGGCCTGTAAGTTTTAGGACTTACTCGCCATGGGTTCAACCCAGACCCGTTCCGTGATCTGATCTTTCAATTTGTAAACGAAGTTAACTCGAAGAATGAAATTCAAAACAAACCGACAAAACGAAAATATACACTAGACACCATTTCGGTCAGTCTTGGACAATTAAAAAGTCACGTGTCAGGTAAAAAAAAAAAAAAAAAAAAAAAAAAGAAAGGTGAAACCGAATGTAATCTCCGGGTAGAGAATAGTAACAACATAGCCAAGGTCAAGTCAGGTAATGCGTGCTCTGAAAATTAGAGCTTTCGACTATGTACATTGTCAGACGCTCTAATCTGGTCTCTCTCTCTTCTCTTTACTTTTGCTCTGGATTGACTTCTGGCTTCCTTTAATTTTCTTGCTTAATCACAACATGACTGACCGAAACACCGTCTAGTTTACACTTGAAATTTGTGAGTTTCCGTTGACAGTAGGTTATATCTTTTTTGATTACTAAAGACCTGATTCTCTCTTTCTCTCTCTCTCTCTCTCTCTCTCTCTCTCTCTCTCTCTCTCTTCTCTCTCTCTCTCTTTACACAGGGTTTGACAAGGTTAAGGATCCCTAGCTTTATTGACAAGCTATTTACAGGTTAAGGATTCCTAACTTTATTGACAAGCTCTCTCTCCCCTCTCTTCTCTCTCTCTCTCTCTCTCTCTCTCTCTCTCTCTCTCTCTCTCTCTCTCTCTCTCTCTCTCTCTCTCTCTCTCATTCACACGCCATAAGCTTCATCATGTGGTAAAAGAAGATAAGTGAAATCCATAACAATGAATTGTTGATCGTAAAGACGTCTTTCTCTGGTGTTGGGGAGTGGAAAGCTTTCCAGATGTGGAAAAGAGGGGGGTGAAGAGGGAGGGAAAAGGGGGTGAGAAGAAGGAGGGGAAGGGGGTAAGAAGAGGCAATTGGTAGTGGTTACTGAAGTGGTAATGGCTCTTGTAATATTTGTTGGGATAGAAGTTGGAAGGTGGTATTGGTGAGGTGCTGGTAGGTGGTGATGATGGTAGTTTGGTGGTTAAGGTGGTC